AAAAAAACATTAATAAATCTTATAATACATAACTTATAATAATACTTATAAATAATTACTAAAATAAGTAATAAATAAATATGATTAACATTATGTGAAGAAAATTATCGTATTTTATTAATATATATTTGAAATTGATTTTTTTTTTTATTTTAAAAAAAATCATTGTTTTTCATAATTTTTTAAAATTTATTTTCAAAAAATCCATTTTAAGGGGGCCCCTAATCATTGGGGGCCTCAAACCATGCCCTAGTTTGGCCTAATGGGTAATCTAGCACTGGAAAGTACACGCGTGATGTAAAAGCTACCTTTATAATAACCATGGCAAACAAGGTATTCTTTGGCCAAGATAATAATAATAACAAATTATAGCATTTACCCTTAAATGCATAAATACAGATAGACACGACCACATATGGATCAAAAGAACATGCGCATATTTTACCGTAAATATCCGAAATCAGGAGAATGTCGACTGTCAGGATCCTGATTCCTCTCCCACGCATTTGATTGACCCCTTGACCTGAGGGTCAGAGGGTGAAGGACATTGGAGGTGTCGTCCCCTACCTTGAGGGTGGAGCAAAGGACTGTCTTATGAGAAAAGAGGATTTTTTACACGAGATTAGTTTTGAACGCCGAAGGGTAGAGTTGTAATTGAACGATGATAGAACAAAAAGAAAGGGAGCAGTTGCGCTTCAAAAACATTATACTCAACAGCTCATGTATCTATTTGTAACTTTTCTGTAAATAATTCTATAATCAAGAAGTTAGTAATAAATAAGCTATAATTGAAATAGTCCTTGGTCATCATTAAGAGGACATAAAAACGAACCAAGAGACAAAATGTCTCACATCGACATTCACCGGTGAATGTCAAGAATCGCACAATCGCTTTGGTGAATGTCTGAAATATTTATTATAGCCGATTTGATATTAATTTATTCACTGATATCATTAGAATTTATTCGAGATTTTAATATCTGTTGAGGACAGAATAGGAGAAACATCAGTGTTTGGAGTACCGGTTAAATGCATACTAGTCAGTGGCACTTGACCTTCAAAAACATTGAAGGTAGTGCATACCGGGTAGTGGAACTGAACTTTAAAAAAAACATTGATGTAGGACATTCCGGGTAAATGTATACCGGACAGTGGCACTTAACTATATTTCGGACATTTACCGAAGCGACTATGTGATTGTCAACATTCACCAGTGGAAGTCAACGACCGCCCAATTTCGGTCATTCACAGTAACACTTACATATTCAAACTTATAAACAAAATTTTCGGTAATACGTTTTGGTAGACCTAATAAATACATTCAAGGGTAAATGCCCTAACACTTTTTTTTTAATAATTAAAGTACCTTTTGCAACACTGTAAATTTAAAAAAAAAAAGGTTTTTGAAATTTATAGAGTACACTTTTTATTACTCATGATTGTTTCTAAAATCAAAATGATCTTAATGTTCTATTTTTTTTCTTATAATAATATTCAGTATAAGAAGGTTAAATACTTTTCATTTTTACTTAAAGAATCATGTATATTTTTTAAGATGTTATTTGACGCTGATTATATTGATCCTTTTTTGGTAATAGTTATTGTTATTCACAATATGAAGCAGTTTATTATTAGTGTTAAAATTTTTTAGTAACCTCTAAATAATGTATGTTTTTCTCTGTTTTGAGAAAGTTTAAAATCAACAATAAAAACTATACTTCCCGTACAAGAGTTTCCACACATTTATGAAGTTTCTCATTTAAAAAAAAAATAATAATAAAGATTAAAGTTATAACGTAACTTTGTCCCATTCGAAATTGTTATTATTATATGTATTTTTTTGTTTACAGCTGGTGTTTTTTTTTATCGCACGTTTGTTTGAAATTTTTTAAAACATCCTTCGTTGCTTAAGTTTTTGAAAACGTGATACATAGTTAAAATTGATACGAATCAAAGAATGACTATATATTTTTATTACTTTCAGTTTTTTTCATTTTATGCTCTATTATTAATTAATTATTTTCCTTTATATTGTTTTGAAGCAAAATAATCAGAATGATGAAGCTTTCTCTTTGTATAACATAATTTGAATTTTCTTTTATATCTAGAATAATAAAAGAAAGCTCATAACAGTAGATCCGTGGAATTGAGAAGTGCCCAAGCATTTTCGATGTAGAGTACGGCAACTTTTTCTAGACAGCCGCAGCGCATGCGCTCTAACCTGTTGTCAGCGCTAAAAATTCTTCATTCCTACTTTGAGTCCTTACATGTTATTTCATTTGCACAAGATAAGACACTTGTATTAGTTTCAAATTCTGTTTTGCTGTTTACAATTGCTGTTATAACAATTATATAACACTGACATAACAATTGCTGTTGTGACAATTTGCTGTTACAACAATTCGCTGTTTTTAATAATAAAATTTTTTTTTAATCATTTATTTTTCTGGTGAAATATATTTTCTTAGCCAAATTTATTAAGTCTTTAATTCACATTTGTAACAAAACAAACAACAAAACAAACAAGAAGAGAAAAAGGGACACTTTAAACTTTTTTTTTATTAATTGGTGGGTGATATTTTTTTACTCATTTTAATCCATTTTCAATGCGTACAATTTCGTAAACTCAAACAATATCAATAAAAGGAAGGAAAATATGAAATACAATAATAATCAGTATTGTAGTTGGGTAGAAAAACATATATGCGTCGTCATCGTTTTTAAAAATATGTCAGTTTTCTAATTTCCTAGAAATAATAATAATAATAATATGAATTCTGTTATATGTTTTTTTTTTCTGTTTGAATAAAATTCGAAAAAAGAATTGCTTTACGATTGTAATACATATTCATATCTGCCACTTTCTCGAGATTAATGTGGTTTTCCGGCTATTGTATTTCCACAAAGTTATGTCTTTTGAAAATGGTGTTCTACAAATTATTAATGGGTAAAAAATACTTAAAAAATTTTAAATTAAAAAAATATTTTATTTTATAAGTATTGTAGAATTATATTTTATATATATTTTGGAGGTATGATGCCCTCGTTAATAATATTTAATGTTATCAATAATAATTTCTAAAATCCAACAGATGGCGCTCTGCGTAGTAATGTAAAAGGATTAATTGTATTCCGTTTCTTCTATGGCACTGTACCATGAACACCATTCCTAGTTTTTGTTATTAAATATATTTATTTAATTAAATATATCTTATTAAATACATTTATTTAATTAATATATGATATTAAATATATTTATTTAATTAAATATATGTTACTAAAGATATTTATTTAATTAAATATATTTAATAACAAAAAATAGAAATAATGTTCTTGCTACAGTGCCATAGAGGAAACTAAATACTACAATTAATCCTTTTACATTCCTATGCAGAGCGCCATCTGTTGGATTTTAAAAATTAATATCATTAACATTGAGAAAGATTATTAACAGCACCCATTTATCTTTAGGAGGAGCATCCCTTCATAACTTTTTATTATGAAGGGGCACTCCCTCATAATAAATCTTTTTTATTAGCAGATTCGGCTAGGTAAAGGCTGGTAGTAAAACCATTACAGCTGGTTTTTATGAGGTGTAAATAAATGATTTTAAATTATCCACCATTTATTCTTGTGTAAAATGCAGTATGTTTTTAGATGTTAAAAAAATTTTTGGTAATCATAAATATTTCCTCAAATGAAAGCTAGAATGAAATGATTTTCGTAGCAGTCTTTTGCTGTTACACGCAATCACTTACACAACGCTAACTCAATACATTCAAATATATCTACGGTTGATTAGCATATTTGTAAATAATTATTTTGTGTTTGTCTAACTTGTAAATATAATCTATTTATCTTTCAAATTTTGTACATATTCTCTTGCAAATAATTCTATCTGTATCTTTATGTTTTATTATTATTATTTTTATTCCTTAATTACTATGGCAAAGTGCCATCTTTTCTTAATTCCCTATTTTGTTAATTGTATCTCAGTATTTTATTTTATTTTATAGCCGTCGTTGAGCAACCGACCCGATTTTGGGCTTACGACTACTAATGTTCAACTTCGTAGCCTTGTAATTTTGAACCAATCCAGAAGACAAGGAAACTCCCGGATCAGTACTCCAGAGGTATGATTTGTTATATGGGAACATGGAGGATTTTGTGACTCGATAGATTTACCGTGCATCAGTGACCATTTACATCACGGGGAGTCTTCGGTCGGTGGGGATCGAACCCACGACCTTCTTGACTTGGGCCCAGTGCCCTACCAACCAGGCTATTTTTTATAGATGATCATGATGAATGGGAAAAGGGCCATATTCAGTCTCAGGATGCCCAGCTATAAATACCAGACCAGGCCAGATCGATTCGTTAGATATCTTCACGTAAGGACCATTTTTGGTCTCAGATACCCAGCTATAAATACCAAACCAGGCCAGATCGATTCGTTAGATATCTTCACGTAAGGACCATTTTTGGCCTCAGATACCCAGCTATAAATACCAGATCGACTCGTTAGAGGTCTTCACTTAAGGATCATTTCTAGCCTCAGGATACCCAGCTATAAATACCAGGCCAAATCGATTCGTTATGTATCTTCACTTAAGGACCATTTTTGGTCTCAGGATACCCAGCTATAAATACCAGACCAGGCCAGATCGATTCGTTAGAGGTCTTCACTTAAGGATTATTTTTAGCCTCAGGATACCCAGCTATAAATACCAGACCAGGCTAGATCGATTCGTTAGATGCCATCACTTAAGGATCATTTTTGGCCTTAGGATGCCCAGCTACAAATACCAGACCAGGCCAGATCGATTCGTTAGATGTCATCACTTAAGAACCATTTTTGGCCTCAGATGCCCAGCTATAAATACCAGATCTGGTCAGATAGATTCTTTCGATATCTTCACTTAAGGACCATTTTTGGCCTCAGATGCGCAGCCATAAATACCAGACCAGGCCAGATCGATTCGTTAGATGTCTTCACTTACTTGTAACATTGTTCCTCGTCCATTTCCATTCGCCCATTCAGTTTGCATTTTATGATCATGGTGTCTTTGGTGTAACCCAGTCGAACACGATCACTTTTGTTCATCCGCCAATAATCATCGTACTGAAAAAAATAATGCTTCATTNTTTTTTTTTTTTTTAAAAAAAAAAAAAAAAAAAAAAGGATTTAATTTCAGTATGAAATTTACGTACGTCTTGAATGGGCTCATGGCAGTAATATTCCTTGCAGTACACAGATCTTCGCAACCTACAATCAAATAGACCTTGATAGTTAGAAGTTTCACAAAAGAATTATAGTGAAGTCTTTTATACTAATTATTTTCATTCATCTGACTAGGGGGCTAAGACCCCTGTCCGCTTACGCTCACCAACCACGATGATTTTTGATTTTTTACTTTATAACCCTCGTTGGACAGCCGACCCAACTTTTTTGGGTTTACGGATACTAATATTGAACTCCGTAGACTTTTTTTTATTTTTTTTTTTATAACCGTCATTGAACAGCCGACCCAATTTCATGGGTTTACGACTACTTACGTTCAACTCCGTAGCCTTGTAATTTTGAACNACTTAAAGATCATTTCTAGCCTCAGGATACCCAGCTATGAATACCAGACCAGACCAGGCCAGATCGATTCGTTATATATCTTCACTTAAGGACCATTTTTGGCCTCAGATGCCCAGCTATAAATACCAGACCAGGTCAGATCGATTCTTTCGATGTTTTCACTTACTTGTAGCATTGTTCCTCGTCCATTTCCATTCGCCCATTCAATTTGCATTTTATGATCATGGTGTCTTTGGTGTAACCCAGTCGAACACGATCACTTTTGTTCATCCGCCAATAATCATCGTACTGAAAAAAATAATGCTTCATTTCTTTTTTTCAAAAAAAAATAAATAAAAGGATTTAATTTCAGTATGAAACTTACGTACGTCTTGAATGGGCTCATGGCAGTAATATTCCTTGCAGTACACAGATCTTCGCAACCTACAATCAAATAGACCTTGATAGTTAGAAGTTTCACAAAACAATTATAGTGAAGTCTTTTATACTAATTATTTTCATTCATCTTCCCAGGTAGTCACCCTCCCAAGTTCTGGCCGCTCCCGATGATTCTTGACTAATAATAAGATCAGACACCAATTTAAATAATTTTATCTTAAAATGGAACGTAGAATTACGTTATAATAATAATAATTATAATAAAAACAGTTCTCTTACACTATTAACTTAGAAAACAGGGGTAGACTATATTTGAGGGTGCCCCTTGATTCTCGTCAAGTTGTGATCGCGGTTGATCGCCTAGCTGGGCGATGTTGAAACCCAATCGTGATTCTGATTATACTGTATAATTTAAAGTTTATAATTAATAAAGTTGATATTTAAAGTATTTATATTTATTAGTTAGCAAGAAAGTTTTGTGTAAATGTATTAATAATAATAACATACAATTAACTCGAAGATTTTATATAGAATTTAATTTCATTAGTAGGGTATCCATTTATTTAAAATCAAATTTTGAAAGAGTTTTTGTCTATTTTTTTTTCGGATAAATAAACATTGCAACATATTCTTTTAATTCTATTCACTTGATTAAAATTGGTATTTCATTAATGTTTTTAGAAACATTAGAATTCAAAGTAATTAGTTTATTTAGATTAAAATTAATATAAATAAACTTTTATTGTATAAATTAACAATGTAGATATTTTCTTCTTTTTTTTTTTCTTCTTCTCTCAAAAATTAAAATTAATATTATCAACATGAGTACAAAGCAAGATTAATTTCTCAGAGTAAATATTATTTAACAAAAATGATAATCGTGAAAATTAAAGATAATTAAATCATTAATAAATCTGAAAATAAATTTAATAGTAAGAGTATAATTTTTTTCATAATAGTGTAAAAATAGGTCAGCTAAGAGAGATGGAAAAATTAATCTTCGTGGTATTACATCGATTTGAATAGAAATATGTTTTCTATTGTAAAGATACTTATTAAAAAGACAAATATTAATTAGAATTTCCCAATAATCAATATTTTTAAAATCATTTTAATAAATCAAAAGAACTTCTTTTAATTTAGAAAGGGGAATGCTATTAAAGAGATCCTGGAAATTGACACAATTAATTTTATTTTGGTTAATAAATTCTAAAATAGGTTGATTATTAGAGATAATCCTAGAAAAAGCCTTATTTTATAATATTGTTAACAATTTTATTTAAGTAGTTAGAGAAAATGGTGCCAGGTTTAGTTAGTATTAGACCCACATGTGATTGTTTTAAATTTAATAGGAATTTCATGAAAATTTAGACCCATAATTATGTAAGGAAATTATACATTATGCTAATTTTAATTTTCAACCTCTTATATAAAGCTAAAAAAAAATTTAAGATATTATTATTATTTAAATTACTTAGCTTAAAATTTGTACTATTTTTTAACTCCTTATTTAAAAGTTAAGTATAAAATTGTTTACAGAAGATTGCATAATTATTGTTAGCTTTGCCAATGGGATAATTAAAATTTTTTTTTGTAGTTGCTTAATTGATCGCTCAATTTTAGAAAAATTTGACGAATTGCTACTGTTATTTAAATTTTCCTTATTATTGAAAACAGAGTTTTTAAAGTAATAATAAACAGCCCAGTTCCCTTCTGTTAACTTGCCTAAAGGTAAAGAGAATCTATTTGATATCTTTAAATAAAAATTATTGAAGTCATTAAGAAAATATTTTAGAATTTTATTAATTGATATACGGTAAATGGGTCTAAATTTTGTGCCTTTTATCCTTAAATTTCTGAGTTCCAAGTTTTCCATGATATTTAAATTACCAGTAATAATATGAAAATAATTTTAAATCATTATTGAAAGATTCCGAAACGTGTAAGCTCATTTGAAGTCGCTACTCGCTTTATAGATTATATTTTATTTTGTATTTTTCTTGCATATTATTTTCTATTTCTGCTTGATATGTTTTATTTCGTACATTTTTTACTTAATATGTTCGATTTTCGTTAAAATTTTTTGGGGTGCTCCTCACACTATTGTATTGACATATTTTGCTTTGGCTATATTAATACAATATTAGAAAGCACTTATTCTTTCTGCGGATATAATCGTGTGAGCTGACGACAAGATTATATCGTTTCATTATTTTCTTTTTCGGCTTTCTAATATTTTTTTTAAATAAAAATTTTTTTAAATAAAAATTTTTTTAAATATTTTTCAAAACATTTTATTTTAAAAAATTTTTTTTCATTAATCTTTATTAGATTATTTTCCGCGTATTCCTCTATATTTTTAACTTTATAATACATTAGAATTAAACATTAGAATTAAAATTTATGGTAATTCATAATTCATTACCACAAACATTCATTTACATTAAAAAATAATTCATTGCCACATGCAAGACATCTTTTTTACTTCCGATAAAACACACAAGTTTTGCCAGAGGCAACCATTAAATTATTGGGCCAATAATAAAATCGGCCTATGAATACCGTGAGACGAATAAAATTTTCTTCGAACTTGAAATATATATGAGTAAACTTTCAAAACTAAAATCTATTTCAAACATATCGAAAAAAAAGGATATTTTTTAATTACATTGCATAAAAAATCCGGAAAGGAATTAGTATGCTTGAAAATTACTATTTTAATTTTTATGTATCTTTTTTTTTAAATTTTAATTTATTACTATTAAAACAATTTCATTGAAATGGGAATCTAATTCCGATCCAAAAGAAAGGGGTAATAGAACATCCCTTATAATATTATATTATAACCGTCGTTGTACACCCGACTCAATGTTTTAGGTTTACCGACTACTAATGTTTAACCCCGTCGCCTTGTAATTATGAACCCAAATACAGAAGACAATGGAGCTCCTGTATCAAGTATTAGGAGAATTTTCCTACTTGGAGGACTTTTAAATGGAACTAACCCGCATTTGCTTAACATGCATGGAGAGGAAAACGAAAACCTCCCACGGTTAGCCTGATGGCAAGGGGACTTTGCAGTACAGAGATCTTCGCAACTTACAATCAAATAGACTTTGATTGTTAGAAGTTTCACAAAACAATTATAGTGAAGTCTTTTATACTAATTATTTTCATTCAGTAGTTATAATCAGACTAGGGGGCTAAGTCCTCTGTCCGCTTACGATCACCAACCCAGATGATTTTTTTATTTTATTTTATAACCGTCGTTGAACAGCCTATCCAATTTTTGAGGTTTACGGCTTCTAATGTTCAACTCCGCAGTCTTGTAATTTTGAACCCAATCCAGAGAACAATGGAGCTCCTAGATCAAGTATTGAGAGAATTTCCCTTCGTGGAGGACTTTTTAATGAAACTCACCCGCATTTACGTTACATACATGGAGAGAAAAACCTCCAACGGTTAGCCTGATGGCAAGGGGACTCCAGCCCATGATCCGTCTACCACTGAGGATATTTCACGTCAGCACTGTGGTTGTTGCAAGCCGGATGCGGAATTCGTATCAACCAGCCATTGCTGGGATTTGAACCCGGTTCACCTTATTGGAAGGCGAACGCTCTATCCCCTGAGCCGCTACTGCCCAACCCATGTATAACATTCACCGAGAACTAAGATTTCTTAGAGTGAAATCCTACCTGTTATTATTGCAGAGAGTAATTCCGGGGAATTCCAGAAGTCCCTTGTTTTCCACTCTTACGTCGACTGTTGTGGGATACGCAGCATAGAGAGAGAAATATGTTGTAGCATGATAAAAGAATCCCAAGATGCAAGACACAAATAAGATGATCCACAAGAGGCGACGAGACCAAGTCCTAGACTCGGCAATTTGACTGATGCCGCTGAGGGATGACTTGCTGAAAACTTCTTGACCAAATGACCACACATTTTTATGACAAGATGATGACCGCCGTGATTTTGGCGTATCAAGACTGTCATTATTTTTTATTACCATTTTTTTTTAAGGAGAACTGTACGCTAGCCAGGCATCTTCAGTACGATAACAGTATCAAAAATAGCAAGATTACTGTTATTATTGACTAGTTAGTTTTAGTTTACTTATTAGTTTTTAGATGACTTTAGTTTCTTTTTTAAATATATTCCAAAACGAAAAATTTAAAAGAGGGAGATTCGATTAGAACATGCACCATTTTAAAAACTTATTATATCGTCAAAACACTCATTTTTTCGCTGCATAAGACAAACATTTGAAACATTTTCGAAATTCTTCTTCTTTTTTTTTTAATTTTTAAAATGACTCTGTTATGATTTTAAATAAAAAGACGTGAACATTTTGTCCAGTTGAAAAAATATATATCTGAAGTCTGGTTTGGTTACGGCTCTCAAACAATTTTAGTTTAATTTTTGAATAACTATGTCACCATAAGAGCAATCATGACACTCATCAGGACAAAGTTGATCTGAACGTCATTTATAGGAGCGGTGAACAAATGGCAAAATCGATGGGAAACTGTTTGTCCACTTCAAATGACCTGCGGACAGCTAAAACAAATAGATATAAATATTTCCATCGAGAAGGATGTTATATGTAAAATCGATGTTTCTAGTTCAGTGACGTTAATAGACTTACGCAACTGTTTTAGACTTAGACGGCAAAGAAAAGATAATGATTACGGAGACATGAACTAAATCACTTACCATTTGAAATGAAATTACTTTTACTAAAAATAACTGACTACCTTACAATAGCTATATTCAAAGTTTAGATTTTTTTTTGAGGCATCCTCTAACCTCGAGTTGGGGGAACCTGAATAGTTGAAAGTTTTATATAGATCAGTGGTTTCGGATTTCGTGGAAGAAGTTCCACAAGTTAATATTTTTTTAAAACCCCTAATTGTATTTGTATATCCGGGTCGCGGTGGCTCAGAGGATAGAGTGTTCGCCTTCCAATGAAGTGAACCGGGTTCGAATCCCAGCGATGGTTAGTGGATACGAATTCCTCACCCGGCTAACACCGACCACAGTTCTGACGTAAAATATCCTCGAATGTAGACGGATTATGGGTTAGAGTCTCCATACCGTCAGGCTATTCATGGGAGGTTTTCATGGTTTCCCTCTCCACGTAACGCAAATGCAGGTTAGTTCCATCAAAAAGTCCTCCACGAAGGCAAATTTCTCCCGATACAGGAGTTTCTTTGTCTTCTGGATAGGGTCTAAAATTACAAGGCTACGGAGTTGAACATTAGTAATCGTATACCCCAAAAGTTAGGTCGGCTGTTCAACGACGGTTATAAAAAAAGGTGACCGGAAAATAAGGTTACCGCTACCGTTATTAACGTAACTCAAAAGCGTTATATATCTCAGAGGTTTATTTGATAAAGATTCATCGCTTTTATTAAAAGTCTTGAATTTGAAATAAGTATCAAAATCATAATAGGGGAGCCAATATTGGGATACGTCTATATTTCCTAACATCGGTCCTAGAGCCGCGATGGCTCAGGGGATAGAGCGTTCGCCTTCCAATGAGGAGAACCGGGTTCGAATCCCAGTCGATACGAATCCCGCATCCGGCTTCCAACGACCACATTGCTGACGTGAAATATCCTCAGTATTTGACGGATCATGGGTTAGAGTCCCCTTGCCGTCAGGCTAACCGTGGGAGGTTCTCGTGGTCTTCTTCTCTATGCAATGCAAAGGCGGGTTAGCTCCATCAAAAAGTCCCCCACGAAGGCAAATTTCTCCCAAAACTCGATCCAGGAGTTCCCTTGTCTTCTGAATTGGGTTCAGAATTACAAGGCTACTGAATTGAGCATTGGTAGTCGTAAATTCAAAAATTGGGTCGGCTGCTTAGCGACGGTTATAAAATGAAATAAAATATTTATATCCAACCCCGGTGGCAGAAACCCTCCAGCATATCACAGCGTCTGCACATTATTTCTCATCTGAAATTTCAAAATAAATAAATTAAATGAATAAATAAAAATAGAGATCAAGCGTTCGATAATTTCTCCCAACATGTATTAAATTATGAATTGAAAGGAACCAAAATAAATTGCATATTAAAGGTATAATTATAATATAATGACAAATCGGGTCGATTTCTATAAAAAGGTTCTATAAACAAAGTTTGGTGAAAAAAAAGAAAAATATTACAGTGCGCTTTTTAAAATTAAAGTGACATGAAATTTTAACATTGCGACTAATTGTCCCATAATTTGGCCTGGATCTGCAGTAGAAGTGACTCATTTTCAGAGCATCGTAAGTCAATATTTGCGAACAATACCGGTAAAAAGAAAACTTTTTTTTATATTCACTGCATATTAGTTTAAAAAATTAAAAAACTCACCGACTTAATGCATAGCAAAATTAAAAGTGAAAAAAAAGAAAAAAGAATTCAGCAGCGGTCGCCATAGAAACGCATGCGCACTGTTTACTATTACAGTTGAGCACGGTTGAAAAGTGTGATGACGTCCAAATAAGGTGCCCACGCCATCAAACTCAAAACAACACCCATTATGCCAATGGGTAATATACAAAATATGTTTAAGAAATGATTTTTTTTAAACGAGATATCATGATGGTTAGAACGAAGGATTAAGATGCATATAATTTATACAACATCTTATAACTTTAACAGTTCACTTCAAAAGTTAAAAATTATATTTGACAACTCCTCTTTGCTTAAGGCACTTTTGAACTGATGTTCCTTACAAATGAAATTCTTCTGAAAAATCAAGTATTGATCCATGGAGGAAAGAAACTCATCCTTGCAGTGTCAGCACAAACGAGATAAGAAAAAAAAAGGGATTCTCTTTCCTTTTAGGGTTATGGTGTCTTCCGTAAGGTTTCTCATTTTACAGAAAAGAAATATAATTCCCTCTAATGGTTTCGAATGTGACTGGCATGTTATTACTTACAATGGGTTGTGATTGTCAACGATTTAAATCAAATGATTAAAATAATCGCTTCAGTTTTTTTTTNTTTTTTTTTTTTTTTTTTTTTTTTTTTTTTTTTTACATTGACAATGCAAATCCTTAAAATAAAGGCATGATGATTAACATAATGTCATCATGTTTTTATAAAAAAGCAGTTTAACAACAAAAATAAAATCAAAGAGTATGCATACATTTACAGCACAATAAATGAAAAGAACAGAGAAAAAAGAGAAAAAGAAAATTATTTAAAAAGAAATACTACATAAAAATTCGAAAGAAAAAAAAAAATAAACTTTTCATCAGCTCACACGATTATATCCGCAGAAAAAAGTATATATATGTAACATAAAAAGCTTTTATTAATCTTTTTATGTTAGTTTCTTTGCTATGAAACAACTCCTACTTTATTCCTAATTAATTATTCTATTCCAAATTCTTTCTCACACTTTTAAAAGCCACATCCTGTTCTTAAATCTATTTTTGGCTCAACTATGCATTTAATTAAGAGCAGGACATATCTCCCTATGCTCTGTGTGGGAAACGCTAGATTTCTTTCATAAACCAATAGTAATCCTTATCACTTCCCTTTTCCCCTCAAATATAACAAAATAGAGGGAAATTCCTTTGCTACTTTCCCTAAGATAAAAACTTAAGCACACAGTTTTTGAGTGCGATTTTGAGCTCCGCCTTTGCTAGAAAATGTCTTAAATATNTATATATATATATATATATATATATATATATATATATATATATATATATATATATATATATATATATATATATATATATATATATATATATATATATATATATATATATATATATATATATATATATATATATATATATATATATATATACAGAGGAATTATAAAATAAAATAAAATAAAAAAAATTTTTGACGGGAAAACGTAAAGGTTCTCTTCAAGACGCAATCCATTACAATGGTAAATGCAATAATTCAAAAAGAAAAAAAAGAATAGTGATCCTAAGATAACAATTACTCTTTATAATGCGTCCATATTATTGCTAAAGAACAAAATTGCAATTGAAAATGAGTGTGGGATAAAAGAAAGAAAGAAGAAAACAAACCTACCGAGGAGGAGGGAAAGTGAAAATACCTGAAAAATACATATACTAATCTAACAAAAATTCGTTTTATATATTTTACATTTATTGTTTAATTATGTATTTTATTGTAACCTTTATATATTTTTGTTTTATGTACCTGGCAACTTCGATGCATAATTAGTTTCTTTATGTTCCACATGTCTTTGTGCCTGTGTTTGGGTTAAGTCTCTTAGTAAATATATATATAGTGAAAAAATTAAAATGCGTCACTTAAGAGAATTGATACATGACGGGCTCGGCTCACTCGAAATAAAATGGAAAAAACAGTTGCTAACGTAAACAAATGCTAAGTTTTAGCAACCAATCATGATCGAGATACCTATACTGCGTCAATTGCAGGGATCTCATTGCAGTTTTATGCTCTTATAAAGGATTCAACAGATACAGTGGCAATGCATATAGTAAATATAACAAAATTAGATATTTTGGTTTCACGAATGAGAGACTTAGAAATCAAACCTGACGATTTTGTAGTTATGAGTAAACTATTAGAAACTCTATCTGATGAGTTTGAGCCACTAATAAAGGCTTGGAATGAAAGACCTAAAGAACAACAAACATTGGAGGAATTAAAGAGACATATTATTTCGAAAGAGCAAAGAAAGATATTAAAGCCATTATAAAGTCTAACAATATTAAAAAAATAATTGGCTAGCTAAAGCATGAATAAAAGTAAAAATATTAATAAAAAAAAAACGGGCTAGCAAACGCATGAATAAAATAAACTAAGCACATAAAGAGGTAAATAAAAAAAATAAAAGCAGACGATAGAATTAGAAGACATTTTTTAGAACAACAGAGTTTTTTTTTTTCTTTTCTAGAGAGATTAGTTTTGTATTGGCATTTGAGTTTTCTCTT